GCCCCCAGCCCCTTCCCATCCCCTACCTAGGCTGCTCCTCCCCTTACCTCTGCTGGGGATCCCCCACCCCAGCCCCATGGGTGGTGCACACCCACCCACTCAGCATGAGGCTGGCTGGGCCATTGTTCCCCCATGTGTCACCCCATTTCCCCCTGCTCACCTCCATCTCTTCCAGGTGAACCCACAAGCTGCTGCCAATCGGAGCCCTGACAGCACCGCAAGCTGGTGACCACCCTATCCCATCCCACCCCCAGTGGCATCCCAGCACCACAGCAGCCTTCACTCCCTAGCTTCACACCCCACACCTGTACCCCAACCCCCATTAAAGCCCATATAAAACCAGCCCTTGCCTGCTGTGTTATCACTGGGGAGCCTCAATGGGGCGATGGGGAAGGAGAAGCACAGACACTGGGGCTGGGGGCAGGGCTGATCCCAGCTCCTGGGGCAGGTGGACTGAGACCCTGTGTGCACTCAGCATCATACCACGGTGCTGTCTGGCTGCCAAACCTGCCCCATCCCAGGAAAAGGGATCCCTAGGGCTGGGATCCACTGTGGGGATCTGCTCCTCTCCACCCCCTCAGACACCCTGAGCTCCCTTGGCCTCCCTGCCTTGGTTTCCCTGGCAGCATGTGAACAGGGTGAAGGGCAATCACCCTATAGTTTGTAGAAGGATGGACACAAAGCAGAGGGATGCTGTGAGCACTGGATGGGGCTCAGCCCCAGCCACCCCCCGGGCTCTATCCCATGAGCCTGGACCCTCACTGGCAGCAGGGTGTGAGCCTGCTGCCGGCAGTCTGGAAAATCACCACTCATTCTGGGGGCAGCAGGCTGTGGCTAAAACACCAGCACAACCATCCTCTAGCACTGAGGATGCTCAGCACTGCCAGACTCAGACATCACCTAACCCGGGTACAGGTTATCCCTGCTGTTGTTTGTGTAAGCTGTTGCATAAAGCCGGGGTGAGCAGGGGTGCTGCCAGCCGTGGGGGCTATAAATGTGGGTGCAGCCTCTCCCCTGCCCACATCCACCCCTGGAGCCAGCATGACAGCAGCACTGCCCAGCCTGGTGCTGGCCCTTCTATGCCTGTTGTAGACAGGGGCTGAGGTCCCCATGCAGCTGGACTTCAGTGCCAAGAAGGTAATGGCACAGGGTCCTGCCCAGGCTGGGGGGACTGGCTGGGGCAGGGGACCATGCTGCACCCCCAGGCATCCCCAGTCCTGGTCCTGAGCTGACACCAGGGCAATTCTCAGGAGAGCCTGTGCAGAACCAGGTTAGTCCTGGCTGCTGTGACCAGCGCCAGCAGTGGCCCAGCTGCAGGGACACAGTACCATGATGTCCCTGAGTGTGTGGCCCAGGGAATGTGGGGCAGATGCTGCCCCTGGCCTCCTGGCATAGGACATCCACGCAGAAAAGTGGCAGGTCACCACGTCAGGCTGGCTGGTCACCACATATTGTGGCAGGTTCCTACAATGGGCTGTCAGATCCCCCATGGAGGGGGACAGGTGCCCCTGGCAGGTGGCAGGTCCCTGCAGAGGGTGACAGGTCCCCCCAGAGGGTGGTAGGTCTCCCACTGCAGGTTGGCAGTTGCCTACAGTGGGTTGTCAGGTCCTCCATGGTGATGGCAGTCCCTCTGCCAGGTGGCAGATCTCCACAACTTTCCTACCCCCTTGGTGATGAACTCCTGCAGTTTGCAGGGACATGGAATGTCGCGGCCACTGCTTCCAACTGCTTTGTGTTCCTGAAGATGAAGGATGGGATGAAGTCGTCCATTGCCACCATTCACACTGGAGGGAGACCTGACCATGACACTGGTCCGGCCCCTGTGAGTGTCTGCCCTGCTTGCTGTGACCCCCATGGGTTGGGGACTCCTCCCTATGACAGCAGCTCCCCCAGACCCACTGCCTGGGGTGCCTGGTCCTGCCTGCGTGCCCTGGACAGGCTGGGCTCCCCCTGTGCCCATCACCCTGCCCTCCTACCTGGTGACTCCCTCCCTAGGCATGGCCTGGGCTGAGCAGGGATTTGCAGGGACCCCCTGCCTGCCTCAGGGCGCTGCAGGGATTTGCTTCTTGCTCCAACCACTCGTCCATTTGTCCTGCCTCTGCAGTTGAGGGGCTGTGTGTCCTCCAGACCTGCTGGATGCTGGGCTCTGCCCACCCTCTGTGGTGCCCCTCCCCAGTTGGGCACAGCTGGACCCTCTGCCCACCAGGATCACCCTTCAGCCTCCTAAATAATTAGGTGCAGAAACTTCCCTGGGGCTCAGTGCTTTGTTGGTGGGAACTGGGTTGCTGTCAGGATCCCCAAGCACCTTGAACCCAGCAAACCTGAAGCTAATCCTCTGTCAGCTCCTGAGGGGTGCTGGGGGGCTCCTTTGCTGTGCTGTTTGCAGTGCCCAACATGAGGAGGATGGGGAGCAGAGGATGAGGAAGGTGCAGGAGGGCAGCTGCTAGGGATATGGGCAGGGGAGAGTGGGGCTGGAGAGAATAGGGGCTGGCACAGCTCAGCTGGGTGGGCAGCAGGTCCGGGCAGGCAGGGTTAAGGTCAGGGTTGAGTCCAGGACACCCCATTTGCTGCTCACTCCCCTCTGAGGACAGCCAGCTGGGCATGGGGCTGCACCATGGCTGCCCATGGGAACACCAAGGACCCCCGTGCCTGTCTGCCACCCACCTTGGTCCGCCATCTGCCCACTGACCAAGGTAGGAACTTGCTGCCATGAACCCCAAGGGCATTCCCCTCCACCTCCTGCGGAGCTGAGGCAGCCTGGGTCCCCTCCACTG